TTATTGATTATATAATCAATAAAAATCAAAGTAACATGCTCTATGTATCTATAGTTTGCTAAAATGTCGAAAAATATGGTAATGTTGCCACAGTTGACGGTTCCAACTTATAGACCATAGAATACTATAATACATACATATTACATAATAGAACGGGGGAGTGGGCGGAGTCCGTGTAGCCATTAAATGCCACAAGACGTCAATTCACACCATTGAAGTAATATGTACTTATGTACTAGAACAGCTATCTCAAACAAAAAATGTGCGCTACTTTGTGTTCGCGAGGTTGTTTTTTTATCATAGAATAAACATAGGTAGAATGGGTAGAATGACCCGTAGGTAATAGCAGTAATTGTATTTTAAAATAGGTAAATTATATCGAGAACAATGTTTAAATTTTGTCATTTATTTTGTATATTATATTTGATTATTTAATATAATATTACTTGATATTATATCACAATTACATTTTAAAGTTTTTTTTTCTGAATATTTTTAAAAGGTATCTAAGTCAAATATAAAAAACATACTAAATGTGTGTTTAACAAACTTATTAACATAACAGTTAAGTTACAAATATATTTATTTAAATTAGAATAAAAGTCGTTCTTAAATGCTGGGCACACGTATATTCGTCCTATACTTAAGTACCCACAGAAATGTCACATCTGAACATATTAATTTCATAATATATATTCCCTGACACGAGATGGCGTCTTAGGAATAATTTGTTTATTATTAATACAAAATACTTTTTTATTGATTAAGTATCTTATTAACCGATAAAAATTAAATCCTTGGTTTTACTGACATTTCTTGAATTATTTGTGCAATATCTAAGTACACACGACGGAATATTTTTATCAAGAGATTTTTTTTAAATCAACACAATACGTGACAACTCTATAAGCACCTATTAGCGAGTGACTGATTAAAGTTCGGTGTATGCACCGCAGTTGAGTGGAACAGAGTAGCTGAATGCAGTGTCGCCTCTAGTACGTAGTACATAATAGCTCAATGATTCACACGTATAAATGTCAACATGAGATGTGTTTTGACGTTACAATCGTTTCCAAATTTCGCATGCAAATTATTTAGAAAATGCCAAATTGCACGCTATTTACAAATAAAAATGTATTAAAATCGGTCTGTCAACAGGGAATCGGGTTTGGGTACGACTTTCCATTGACGTCCGTCGAATTGGAGGTGGGAGGGGGTGGGGGGAGGTGTACTACTCCCCTTAAAAGGAAAAGTTGCTGAGCCCCCCCCCCCCCTTTTTGAGTTTTTTCAATATTAATTCTGAGGAAATTTTATTTTTTGTGGATAAATATTAAGTGTAAAAAACCATGGGGAGCCCTTGGGGGGAAGGGGGGGAATACCCCCTAAGGAAGGGAGACCCCCTTCACCAAAAATAAATAGAGAGACTCATTCAGAGGGATTTCTGTATCTATTTTGAGACTGCAACGTCTCCGGCGCTGCGGAAAGAGCAGCCTCTACGCCTTTGCGTAACAAATCGCAAGCATCCAGCCTCGCCTCCGCAGCTTTTCGCTTTCGCCTTCGGCAACCAGCCTCAGCCGCTCCGGCTGGTCCGATGCCTACGATTTGTTACAGCAGGCGGAGATTGCTCTCCCTACGCGCCTCCGGCTCTATAAAAACACTCTAGGGGCAGGACAGACTCGTACCACGTGGAGTCTAAGTCTATTAATTCGGTTCCTTGACATAAGTTGAACCTAACCTATTTTATTTGTTATCTGTCCTAATAGGTGGGTACTGTTTTATACACATGTTTTATACAATTTTATACACATATTGCTTTAATTAATTCTTAGAAATCGTCAGTTTTACGTTACGTCCCACAAGCCGGCAAAAAACGGTAAACACTACATACACATTTTAATTTTAATAGCTCATAATGATAATAATTCTGTAATTTAAATATAAACTCTTAAATATATGTGTATGCGTGAAAACTATTTAAATGAGTACAAAATATAATTATTTACGTAAAATGTACAATAAAATGCTACCGAACGTATGACAACCGTACGGAAAATGAACGTTCAATGGCGAGAATTCGATGTAATCTGTGGTAAGGATTAAAATAAATATTAAATGTAAATATTATAAAAAATAATTGATTTTCAATAATTTTTTCTCAAAAAGTACGCGTTTCCGCATGTTGAAATTTTGCGTGTGTGCTTACAATAGTGTAGCCTTTCTGTAAAAAAAATATCATATAATCTGAGATAGGGATTGACATAAATATTGCAAAAATAATTGATTTTCAAATTTTTTTCTCAAAAAGTACGCTTTTCCGCATGTTGAAACTTTACGTGTGTGCTTATATTAATGTAACCTTTCTGTAAAAAAAATATCAACCCCCAACTCGACGGACGTCAATGGAAAGCTAAGCCTCGGTTTAGCTGCACCAATCAAAGGCGCTCGCCTACACTCGGCAAGTCGTCTCCACATGTTAGTCCGCCATGTCAGTATGTTCACTCCTTCAAACTTGACCAACATATAGAATGTAGCAATCGCCTTTATCAACTTGCTTGTATCTATCAGTGTGTTTTCCTAGGAGTATTCTTCCTCGTACAACTTCTCTTTGAAATTGTTTACAACCGGCGATTTTTCAGACTGATGCCTTAGGGACCTTTAAGAAAAGAGCTTACTCCTTAAAGGACGGCAAAATTTAAGAAATCATTATAAGCCAGTGCTTGACTACTATCCCACCTGGTGATTATTGCTATGCCTGGTATAATGCTTATTTTATATAGCCTTGAAAACGCTCAGATTGTAATTAGACTGAACGTCAAACGTTGGAAAATTATTCCACAACTTTTTTGTACGCATTGTGAAAGACCAAGCGAACCTTTTTGTTTAAATACGTGGGAAATCGACAACAAAAGGGCGAAGGTCCACCGAAAGCCTACTGCGGTTGAGTCGATCCATTTCTTGCTACATCTGACTTTACTACGTAAAATCACATCTATCGCAAAACTGATAAGCATTGTTTATGTAATCTAGAGTGGAGACCACAATAAGACAAAGGCCTGCGTGTACAAGAGTTAAAGATTGTACTAAGTGCCATGTCTTTGAAGCCTTCTTCTAGCAGAACAGCTGCATGTTGATGATGATAATCTATTGTGCAGAAAAACCAGCAAAGCTTCCAAGCCTTATCATTCATGATTTTTACAAGTAGGATGTAACCATATTCACGACTGTGTATGTATTATAGTATTGTATATTCACGACACTAGGCAGCATAGTTGGTGGGCACTACGTCAATACACCTCTAATAAGAAATAATGTAGGTAGGTAATTCGTATTGAAACAAAAATAATAAAAACATTATAATACTTTATTTTTCAACGAAATATGGACACAGTATGTTGTCAATATCACATTCATATAAAATCTGTAACATAAATCTTGACAAAAAGTATAATGTGCATTGTCAAGATAAAATTAAATGATTATTCTTAACACATAAATTAAAAATAATAAAACATAATTGTTGTCTCTCTCTTGTTGTGATGATTGAGTCACGAAATAACTGCCACTATTAATAAACTATATTTATTTACCAAATGTAATGGTGAAAAAAAATCGACAATACGAATTATAATAACAATAGATATAGTTTCCTTAGTATAGGTAAATGTATTTATATTATGAAACATCCCGCTAATTTCTGGAATGAATAAAAATATCAATTTAGTGTTTTCAAACATCAAAAGAGGTACTTGATCACATCCATATTAATAATAAAGTTTATTTCTCCTTACAATTTACATTAAATATTATTGTTTTGACATTATTACTTAATATTAAATAATGAATACTTTAGTTTTTCTTTTAAATGTTTATATAAACTCTTAAATCGAAATAAAATATATTTTAATCATCATACAATGTATCCAATGCAGTGGACGATATGAATTATATATAAGCTCGTGGAAACTGTCCATGCCACCGAATCGGAGCTAAGTTTTGCAAGACCCGCTGCAGAAGTTCTCATGGCTGTTAGAAAAGCAGTCTTCAACAAATTTGACAGCGTACAGGCAACTGAACAGACAGATCTCCAAATGCATGCGGCGGGACTTACGCAACTTTAATATTGCTCATACTGAGGAAGCGATAGAGCGAAACCAAGGCTTCAAGATCTATCCCAGAGACCTTTCTTCCAGAAAGAGCCAACTGTCAAAGCTGAAGACCGAGTGTGGCAGCATCATTTCCGGTACACCTGAGATTTTGAGTGAGATTGAGAAGTTCTATGGGCAGCTGTACACATCATCGTTGGTGCCACAAGCAAGAGAAAGTAATGATCTAAGAGCAAGTCTTATCCGACACTATTCCGATGATATCCCAGACGTCAGTCTGAGCAAGATTAGAATGGCTCTCCAGCACCTTAAAAACGGCAAGGATGGAATTACAGCAGAGCTTCTGAAAGCGGGTGGAAAACCTGTACTAGTCCTTCAGAAGCTCTTTAATTCCATCCTCCTTGGTGGAACTGCTCCGGAGATGTGGAGCAGAAGTGTGGTGGTTTTGTTCTTCAAGAAAGGCAGCAACGCTCCTTGAATAACTACGGACCGATTTCCCTTATGAGCCCCGTCTACATGCTGTTTTTGAGTCATTACGAATCGTCTCGCATCACTCGACAACTTCCAGCCTTCTAAACAAGCCGGTTTCCGAAAAGGCTTTAGCACGTTAGACCACATACATATCCTGCGGCAGACTCTACAGAAGACCGAAGAGTACAATCTGCTACTTTGCCTTGCGTATGTACGAGGCCTATGTTCAGCAGTGGACTTGTGAAGGGCTGTAATGATGATGATGATACAACAATGTATTAACAACAAAAATAAATTATAAAAGATTTAGTTAACAAGCGCAGACACAATTTAAGCTGGAAAGTGCAATTTAATTAATTGTACTTTGACTTTAAGCATAGGCATACCAATAATATAGACAATACACACATGTAAAATTAATTTACCTTAGTTTATATTCTTCGTCCAAGCAAAAGGATCCTCTTTAAGATCTTTCTTGTGTAGGGATTTACCTTGATAAAGTAATTCGGCGAACTGTGAAACTACAGGATCTCTCATACAAGAAGCAACAGCTATTACTTTGTCAGATTTATCAAAGAAAAATATGACAAACTTCAACTCATTAATATCTCCTTCTATTTGAAAGCTCGCGGATTTTCCACAACCTGCGTATCGAATAGATTTACCGAAAAGCATTGTCCAGAAGTAAGGAACGGTTCGAAGAGATGTCTCCCTCTTCAGTATATTGAGGCCTGCAATTTTACCATGATACTGTGCCAATCCCACATGTCCGATGCTCATTGGTTCGTTGTTGTGAGCAAATACAGGCGCATAAGCTATATCACCACCGGCGTATACATTTTTAATATTGGTTTCCAATTTTTCGGAAACAATAACAGCACCATTATGCCCTAGTTCTATACCGCTATCTTTTAGAAAATCTGTGTATAATGTAGTCCCTACACCTAATATAAGCATGTCGGCCGGTAAAGTAGTACCATTTGCGAGTTCAACTGATTTTATAATCCCGTTTTCACCATTACATTTGGTAATTGTTGTGTTAAAATGGAATTTGACGTTTTTCTCTTCGAATAGCTTTTGGAGACTTCGACCTATTTCTTCGCCAAATATTTGGCCCAGAGGTGCGGTGTCTGTACCGACAACAGTCATAGACTTCGCTGATTCAGAACAAGATGCAGCAGCTTCCAGTCCAATGAAACTTAATCCCAGGACGACGACATCTTTATTTTTTTCAGAACCTAAGGTTTGAAGAATATTAACGGAATCTTCAAAATTTCTCACAGTAAATATATTTTTTAATTTTATGCCGGGAATGTCTGGTACACGTGGTTTGGATCCTGTCGCTAAGTATACTGAACTGTAACGTAATTTTGACCCATTGCTTAAATAAACGAATTTCTCTTGAGAATCTAGTTTCGTTGCTTCAACGCCTTTAATAACTTCGATATGTGCATCCTTATAGTATTGTTCGGATCTAACTTGCAGCTTTTCTATATCTGTAACCATACCTATTTTAGATACTTTAATTCTGTCATAAGGAAGATAGTTTTCTTTAGCGACAATTGTGATACGCCCTTTGAAACCTTCGCCACGAAGTGTTTCAGCGCAAGTAGCACCCGATGGCCCGCCGCCGATGATTACTACCGTTGATTCGTCGCAAGGTGCAGCCATTCCCATATCCTTGATCCTCTTATTGGATTTCAAGTCGCTGATTTTCGCTCGTACCTGAAACATAACACATTTTTGATAAGTCCATGTCATATGATACTAAGAATAACTAAGACCAAGGAGGGATGAGGGAATGATTCGTCTCGAATGAATACAAATGAAGGGATGGAGACAGTGAGAACTGTTTAAACACTATGGAGTGTAACAGCTGGGTCGTTTTAAGATGGGTTCCGGGTCATGCGTGTTTATAGGCGTGCGAACTTGTCGTGCGAAGTACGCACGCCTATAAACGTTCGCACGGGAGAGTTCATAGAGTACGTAATTTGGACACGAACCGTTTTCTAAGTTCCATTCCAATTCAATTTTCTAAGGCTGTCTTGATTGAGCCTTGAAACTCTACCACAAAAACATCACTTAAGATCTGGTCTGATGCTCCTATCTTAAAACTTTCCAAGAAATCCGGGCATAAGATCGTAAATTCGCTTCAGAAGCTTAGGCTTAAAATAAGAAAAAACTGTGTGTTTTGGCAAGAGCCTTGATTTGACAGTGCTGTTTAAAGAAGTACATGGCCATCTTAAGACTAGGCATCTAAAGGATGTGTCAATTTTCAACCGACTTCCAAAAAGGAGTAGATTATCAATTCGACTGTATTTTTTATGTGTGTTACCTTATAATTTTTTTTTTTTTTAGATGAATCAATTCTAATGATTTTTTTGAACGCTGGTGCTTCCCATTTGGTCACATAGAATCAAGATCAAGATCTGACCAGTAGTTTTAGAGTTATCCTTAATAATGCGTCTTTAATTGACTTCAACTATATTGATGATGTTCTCACTTTTTATTTATTTATATAGTCAGTTGCACAAAATTTTTAGTTTTACCACTTGCGTTCCTAAACGGAAGAAACGTTGCTGTACATAATAATTGATTACGGAAAACGTAACACTCATCGACGAAACTATGTACTTAACACAGAAGAAGCTGAGCAGTGAACTAGTCATAATAGCGGCGATTACAATAGTTCATACTTATATGTGTTGGTCTTGATTGACCACATAATTGTTTGCACAAAAAATGTGTGATAAAGATACCCTATGGTATATCTTTAAATATTGCTATAATTCGTAATGTACTTTTAAAATTTTTGCTACTAAGTATTATAACAAGAACAACATTTGATTCACATTCACACTTAAAAATTTAACTATTAATAAAAGCCGATATTAAAGAACTAAAAAGAATAAAATAATTTCCTCATAATAGATTCTGAAATAAAGAAATCGATGTTAAGAAATAGTTTACAGAAGAGTTAAAGCCACACGATTTCAGAAGCTATTATGTGGAAAATATATTAATTATCATTTTTGGGTATTTGGTGTCGGCTTTTGCTTTTTATTAGTAGCTTAGTATTTTGACCATTTTGAAAGGACTTAAGAAAATTAGAATATATAGTAATTTAAAAAAATAAGTAGATGAGAAAGATAAGTAGAATGATAGGAAGAGTAATCAAATAAACATAAAAAATGTACTGAAATCTGACTTATTCAGACAATAATAAAATATTTTATTTATATTTTGTAATAGGTGCCAAACAGTCACCGGAACGGAGAGTCAAAAATGCACGTGTGCGAGTACGGAGACACCTCGTTAGTCTAAATAGTTACATTAAAAACTTCATGTGCAATTTTTCACACATCCTTCGAGCGGGAAATTTTTCTTCAAATGTATCCCTGAAGTATGGTGGCTTCTCACTGCGTGTGTTATAACGCGCCGCGCCGCGCCCGCACGCACCACGCGGAGTGTGAAAGGCTTGGTGCGGCGCGGCGTGAGCAGGCGTATGCTATCCGTTTAAAGTTGGTAACTTCAAAGGCGCGGTGCGGTGCGGCGCGCATGTCTAAAGCCGGCTTCTCACTGCGTGTAATAAAAACAATTGCGCGTTGCGCGTGCTTGCGCGTCCTAAACGGAAGTACAACTCGGGCGGTAAGGTGCGTGTTAACACACGCAGTGAGAAGCCGGCTTTAACTATTTAGGCAAAATATGCGCTTAGATGTAGTTGCGGAAAATAGCCCGTCGTAAACTAACTACCTAACTCACCTATGTAATAAGAAAAGAATCGATAAAATCGGTATATCGTTGACGAAGATATCGCGTAAAATACGTACAAACCACATACAGTCGGATTGAACCTCCTCTTTTTATGTCGATCAGTTACGTGCCAATTTAATTCAAATTTTACATTTGGCATCAACCATTAGAAACAAAGTGGGGGAATTAAAGATAAAATATTTTTTTTATTTTATAGCTATTGCAATGGAAATCCTGCAATGGCATTACAAATAATTACTTAAATCCTGTCCTGCGAGATGACTAGTCTCTAGGCTTGATTGAGACTTGGTTAAGACTAGCTAAAGTGACCGAAACTTGGTCTAGAGGACAGTCTTATTTGGAATAACGTGTGGTAACGAATAAAGAAAGCGCTGATACCCTTTCCCCACATACTTATTTCGTAGTTCATAGATTTTACACGACTCGTAAGTTTTTATTATCACAAATGGCACCAGAGCAATTCAGTTACTTAATATTATACGATATAGTTTTCACTTTTCGATAATATGAGAGTGCCTGCATCAATCTTTAAAAAAAATCAAATAAATATACTTTTTTCATTATAGGTACGTCTTAGCAGCATTAAAAAATAAATTTTAATTAAATTAAAAAACAATTATAAAATATTGTTAAATCAGTAATTAATACTTCAGTAGGTATGCTTTTTTATCTATGACCACAAACTTCTATTCATTGTGTAAGTTTGTGGTAGCACTGGCCTAATTTATAAGCAATAAATATTGTATACATATTTGTAATAATATTAGACCTGAGACGATATTATAAATGGCATTTCACTTCCCTCCGTTGAAGCGTTGCAGAGTATTCCGGCACCAATCTACACGAGCCGCTTTTTGCTCTTCAGACAAATTGTGGGGAACCCAGCGGGAGACTAGCTTTCTTACACACAGCTCATTATGTAATATCGACTGAATTGCAGTTATTCCGATACTGATAACAGCCCGAATCTGCTCGTATGTCACATGACGGTCATCTAATATAATAGTTCGCACAGCTGCGATATTTTCAGGCGTGGCCGCTGTACTTGGTCGACCTGCAGAAGAAACAGTGCTGAGCTGCTGAGCGACACACGATCGGAACTCGGCATATCAGTGGTATATTGTCGTTTGACTTGGTGCTTCAACATCATAAATCGAAACAAGTTCGCTGAGACATTTATCTTGAGATAAGCCGCGACGAAAATTGTGATAAATTATGGCACGGAAATGTTCACCCGTGAGCTCCATTTCCGTTAACGACGTGTAAACTTTAAACCAACATAGTTTTTGTTTTTAAACATTTTTTAATGGTTTAATGTCATCAAGATTCTAAGAGGCCAGTATTCAAATTCTAAAAAAGGTTTTATTGTAACTCAATCCTAAATATTCTATTCCCGATCATTTCAGTGTGTCCCTCCGTATAAATAGGTATATAAATATGTTTATCCCACATTTTCCACCCTTAGGAAACGATTTTGTTTCTTAAAATTTATATAAACCTAAAGTATAACCTATTTAATAATATTAGAATCATTTAAATCGGTTAAGCCGTTTCCAAGAAATGGGTCAACGTAGACAAAGAAACAAACACGTTGAAATAGAACCTCTACGTTTTTTGAGCTGGTTAAAAATTTACCATTATTATTATTGCAATTTTAAAGGTTTCATGCTTCGGTAGAGTAAACTTCTTGAAAATGTATTATATTATCTAGTGCATAGTGTAATAATGTTTGCATTATGAAAATCTTTTAAGCCGTTATTCGTCGGTTAATTACGCAGCACTGCACATATTTGTTCACAGTCATTAAACCATATCATGAGTCATATTAGCCTTAAGGTATATTGTGTCATAAGTCATATTAAGCTATTTTTTAAAATAATGAGTAAAATAGAAATAGAATTTACTATTTTTTATACAATAGGATGACAAAGAGCACACAGTCCACCTGATGGTAAGTGGATGCTATGGCCCATAGACATCTATATCTGTCCTCAAATACGAGTCAAAATGCAGATGCGTTGTCACCCGTGAGGACTAAGATGGAATACCGCATTTCCAGCAAAAAGGGTATCCGGTTCTCTATGCTCACCATGCGAAATACATCAAGCGTTAAGCTGCTATTTTACACTGGTATTTTGTGAGAGCGTGGTCCTTCCCCGGTTAAGCCGACCCATCCGTGCTTCAGCTATACTACTAACAACATAGCTGCAGACTGGCTCTACCACACGCATACCTAAACGTATACTAAACTTAAAATACAAAAGTCAGACGAAAGCCCGATTTTGCTCTTTCACATCCAATTTGAATCGAAAATTGTGAAAGATTTACTGGTCCACAAATTGACGTTCATTTAAGTATTACAAAGTTATAGTAGTCTTGAAATTTTCATTTTGAAGTTTTTTCGTAAAATATACTTGAAATAAATTTAAATTTTAGTCTTATTTTTCTCACGATCCATAGAAATACTAATAGCGCGTAGGCGTAGGTTTACGATCATGTTTACTCAGTGAATTAGGTACCTACATCATTATCTACACATAGTATATCTAATCTATGTGACAAAAATTATTTCTGATGGCCTAAAATAAGTAATTAAACACATTTTTATGATTTTTAGAAAACCGTACCGTTTTACCCGTACGTCTGTTTATTACCTACCTATAACGTACCTATAACGATTAAAGTACTTTTTTTTACTACTACTACTAGGTGTTTACTAACACATTTTTATATGGACTATGGTCTGAATTAAAAATATATTATTATTATTATTTTACAATGATTTCTTATATTTACGCGAACATTATACGTTGATTCAAACTACTTTTACGGATTTTATCGCGTTTATCTATGTTATTTTTAACACCCGACGTTTCGGTTGCTTTCCAGCACCAATGGTCACGGGGGACTGAGGTGACTGACGTCCCGATGTCAAAGTTAACCCGGAGTAC